GGAGCTGCTCACCTTTTGCAGGTATGCTCCAGCCCCACTGGGGTTTATGGGACCTGCAACCCTTGTGGGTAGTGGCAAGCTTTGGGATCCCTGTGTACAACCTAGGCAGTGGCTTCCTGTCTGGAACACTCAGCTTTGGAGCAAGGCCAAGTGCGACACCTAGCAGGACAGCTGGTGTTGGGGACGTGGTCAGCCTGGGGCACCCCTGTTGCAACTGGAGAGGCCGGCCCTGCTGAGAGCAAATCTGTCCTTGGAAACACTTTCCTTCCTACCTATAATCAGAGCACCCAGAGCCAGCCCCTCCATAACATGCTGACTCCTATTGGATGAGAGAGCGTCACTGAGAAGGAACATGGGGCACAAGGTGCTTTGGGTCTTCCTTGTGTTGAGATAACCTGGGCCCCATCCAGCTGGAGGACATTTATGGCAATCAAGGGGAAGACGCCACACTTGCGCCTGGAGGGCTTTCAGAGATCCTGGGCCCCGAGTTAAGAGCGCATGGCTGGTAGTGGGAAAGGCCAACACCATCCAGGGTGTTGGGAGGATTCTCTTCCCGCATTGGGTCTGAGCACTTGAGGACCATTTAGTCACAGAAAACCTGTTACTCTTGGAGAAGGCTGCACCACTGAGAAGAAATGTGTGTCATGAGCTACTCCTGTTCCTGCCCTCCGTCAGACCCCCAGTGTCCACCAGGCCAGGGCATCTCTGTCGCCATCTGAGGGGCTGGCACTGTACCCATGATTGGAAATGCTAACGTCAGCGCACCTGAGGGACACGGTTCAGAACGCAGGCGGTGCCATGGGGAAAGTCAGCACCACACCTGCCCTTCTGGAAATTTTTGTTCTGTCATTCAGAGCAGCTGGGACACTTGTGGTCAGAGCACATCTGTTGCAGGCTCACGGGACAGGGTCACTTTGAGGAAGAGTCTCTCTTCTCACCTTCACTCAGAACATTTGGGGCCCACTTAGACAAGAGTACTCTCTTTGATGTGGAGTAGTCAACCCCACTAAGGAAATGTCCAAACTTCAGCACCTCTGCTGCTGCCTTTCAGAGCAAACGTAGCTCTGGCATGGGGCACTGCAATCCGGACTCTCACGTTGGGCACCTTTGTCACCTGCCCAGATTTCTCTGGAGACAGAAGTGTTGGGTCACCAACCCATTCATTTTTCTTCTACTGAAAGAAACAATAGCTCAGCAAAGGCTATCTAGAAATGGTGGCTGCCCACCCACTGCCATTAATGAGTAGAGGCTCAGCCCCTCTGGTTATGGCGAACAAACTTAGCCTACACCGTGTCCTTCTAGAGTGAGCTGAAGCCCAATACCTCAGCACGTTTGTGTACATGTAAAATGGCGTCATTTCAGAGGAGGCTCATCAGAAGTCGACACACCGGCCACGAGAAGTCCACTGCGGAAAGAAGAAAGACAGCAGTAAGTAGCAACCGTGTCATACATGACTGCAACTCTTAGTCCGGCAAATTCTGCTTTTTCAAGATCTTTGGCTAACTGAGGTCCTTTGTAATTCCTCATGCATTTTAGAATCAGATTATAAATTTCAGCAAAGAAGCCGACTGGGATCCTAACAGGGATCATGCTGAATTTGTAGATCACTTTGGGAAGTGTCACCATCTTAAATCAAGTCTTATTCATGAACATGGGCTGTTTTTCATATTGTTTAATCCTTTAAAATGTCTTTCAGCAGTGTTTTTGTACAGAAAATTCTCTTGTTAAATTTATTCCTAAACATTTCATTTTTATGGTGGTACTGAAAACATTTCCTTATTTCATTTTTTATTGGTTCACCACCACAAGGGTATAGAAATACAATTGATATAAGATGCATATCATCTGTGAATATAGTTTTACTTATATGCTTTTTCAATTTGGATGGCACTTTCTTCCCCCTTTATCTTACCTAATTGCTTTGGCTAGAAAGCCCAGTAAAATATTGAGTAAAAGTGGTAAGAGTGGACATTCTAATCTTGTTCGTCAATTTAGAGATAAAGCACTCATCTTTTACCTTTAAGTATGATATTTGCTGTGGGTTTTTTGTCCAGACTTTATCAGATTGAGAGGTTCATTTTTATTCTTTATTGAGTTCTTTTATAGTAAAAGGATGTTGGATTTTGTCACATGCCTTTTCTGCATCTATTAGGATGATCATGCAATTTCTAAAAACTTCCATTGATACGATGTCTTGCAATTAATTACAATTGACATATAACATTATATTAGTTTTACACGTACAACATAGTGATTTGATATTTGTATGTATTGCAAAGTGGTAAGTCTAGTTAATGTCATTACCACACAGTTACATTTTTTTAAATTGTTGTGACAAGGTCTTTTAATATCTACTCTCTTAGAAAACTTCAAGGATATAATACTGTGCATTACATACCCAGGATTTATTTATTTTATAACTGGAAGTTTGTACCTTTTGACTACCTTCCCCTTCACTCATTCCACACACCTCTAACCCCTACCTCTGACAAATATAGATCTGTTCTCCTTATATAGGAGTTCAATTTTTTTTTAGATTTCACATATAAGTGAGATCATAATGCTATTTGCCTTTCTCTGCCTGACTTATTTCATTTAGTATAATGCCCTCAAGTCCCATCCAGGTTGTCACAAATGGCAAGATTCAATTCCCTTTTTCAGGGCTGAGTAATATTCCTATCCATTCATCTTCTTTATCCATTAATCCATTGACGGACAACTTGGTTGCTTCCATGGCCTGGCTCTTGCGAATAATGCTGCAATGAACATGAGGGTCAGATATCTTTTCAAGATAGTGTTTTCCTTTTCTTGGACAGATATCCAGAAGTGAAATTGCAGGATCATATTATAGTTCTATTTTTAGTTTTTTGAGGAACCTCTACAGTTGTTTCCATACTGACTGTACCATTACATCCTCACCAACTGTGCACAAGGGTTCCCTTTTCTCCACATTCTTACCAACACTTATTATTCCTTGTTTTTTTTTTTTTTTTATTCCTTGTCTTCTGATGATGGCCGTTCTAACAGGGTCTAAGGTGGTATCTCATTGTGTATGTGTGTGTGTGTGTGTGTGTGTGTGTGTGTGTGTGTGTATGTTCCCTTATTGTGGTTTTGATGCATTTCTCTGGTGATTACTGATGCTGAGTATGTCTTCATGTACTTTTTGGCTAACCCTATGTCTTCTTTGGAAAAATATCTATTCAGGTCTGCTTATTTTAATATTTTTAAAATGTTTAATTTAGGAGCGCATGGGTGGTTCTGTTGTTAAGCGTCTGCTTTCAGCTCAGGTCATGATCCCAGAGTCCTGGGATGGAGCCCTGCCTAGGGCCTCCTGCCTGGCAGGAAGCCTGCTTCTCTCTCTCCCACTCCCCCTGCTTGTGTTCCCTCTCTCTCTCCCTCTCTCTCTCTGTCAAATAAAATAAAATCTTTAAAAAAATTTTTAAATTTAAATTCAATTTAGTTAACATATAGTGTATTATTAGTTTCAGGGGTAGAGTTTAGTGATTCATCAGTGCACGTAACACCCAGCGCTCATTATGTCAAGTGCCCTCCCTAATGCCCATTGCTCCACACCTGTCTCCCCTCCAACAACATTCAGTTTGCTTCCTAGAGTTAAGAGTCTCTTATGGTTTGCCTCCCTCTATGTTCTTATTTTATTTTACTTTTCCTTCCTTAGCTCATTTTCTTTTTTTTAAATTATTTTTATTAACATATAATGTATTATTTGCCCCAGGTACAGGTATGTGAAACGCCAGGTTTACGCACTTCCCAGCACTCACCATAGCACACATCCTCCCCAATGTCCACAACCTAACCACCCTCCCCCCACCCCTCACACACCAGCAACCCTCAAGTTTGTTTTGGGAGATTAAGAGTCTCTTATGGTTTGTCTCCCTCCTTCAGCTCGTTTTCAAATCAGATTTTTTTTTTGTTATTGAGTTGCATGAGTTCTTTACATATTTTGGATATTAATTTTTTTATTAGATATATGATTTGCCAATACTTTTCTCACTCAGCAGGTTGGCTTTGCATTTCATTGTTTTTCTTTTTGTGTGTGTACAGAAGCTTTTTGGTTTGATGTAGTTCCACTTGTTTACTTTTACTTTTGTTGCCTTTGCTTTTGGTGACAAAACCCAAAAATCATTACCAAAACCATATCTAGATAGGAACACAGATATACATATCCAGGTCTATATATCATCTGTAGCTATGCCTCTATCGCTACCTGAACTTATGTCTCTATATTGGTAAGTAGGCATTTTCAGCCAGGACTTTAAAAGCTGGTTATGGAATTATTTTATTTTATTTTAAATTTTTTTTTATTTTATTTATTTGACAGAGATCACAAGTAGTCAGAGAGGCAGGCAGAGAGAGAGGAGGAAGCAGGCTCTCCGTGGAGCAGAGAGCCCAATGTGGGGCTTGATCCCAGGACCCTGGGATCACGACCTGAGCTGAAGGCAGAGGCTTTAACCCACTGAGCCACCCAGGTGCCCCTTATTTTAATTTTTTTAAAAGTTTTTTTTTAATTTATTTGACAGAGAGAGAGATCACAAGTAGGCAGAGCAGCTGGTGGGGCGGGGAGCAGGTTTCCTGCTGAGCAGAGAGCCTGATGTGGGACTCGCTCCCAGAACCCTGAGACCATGACCTGAGCTGAAGGCAAAGTGTTAACCCACTGAGCCACCAAGCACCCCTGGAGTTATTATTTTAAAAGATTTTATTTGGCAGAGAGACACAGCGAGAAGGGGAACACAGCAGGAGGACTGGGAGAGGGAGAAGCAGGCTTCCCGCTGAGCAGGGAGCCCAATGTGGGGCCTGATCCCAGGACCCCGGGATCATGACCTGAGCCAAAGGCAGATACTTAATGGGTGAACCACCCAGGCACCCCTGGTCGTGGAATTATCGTAAGATATCTAGCAGTCCTTGGTTTTTAAGCCAGGGTGCATAATTCACCCACCTGAAATGCATCTCCTCTCCTTGCCTCTGGGAGATCACTCCTCAACAGCCATGTAGTCAGCTACAAGGCTCAACTGGGAGAGAAATGCCCAATATTGCTGTGCTGACAATTGTCGGTTTCTGCAAATGTAGGATAGAATGTAGGTTAGAAAGAGAAACAGAAGGCAATGCAGATTAAGCAGAAGTAAAGCTGACATTATTCAGAGATATGTGGTTTACAGAAAACACTAAGTGTATGTAGAAAACTCAAAGGAATCTGCAGACCACCAGAAGCAAAAGTAAACTTAGCAAGGTCCTAGTATACGTAGAGAGAGAGAGAGAGAAGTGTATTTTCCATGTACTACTAGTTATCTATTTAAAAGACACCATTTAAAATAACATTTACAAATCTCATAAAATTAGGAATTCAGAATAAATTAACAAAAGCTATGCAAGACCCGTTCATAGAAAACTACAAAACAGGAGTTGCAAACTTTCTCTGTAAAGGGCCAGAGAGCAAATAATGTAAGTTTTGTGGTTCACATATAGTCTCTATCACATATTCTTCTTCTTTTTTTTAAATTTTATAGCTCTTTAAAATTTTTACAATGTTTAATGTTAAAATGTTACAATGGTTAGTTCACCAGCCTCACAGGCCATGAGCCGAATTTGGCCCATAGGCTGTAATTTGCTGTTCCTTGCTACATAACAGAGAAAATGAAAAAGACCTAATTACGTACAGTTAGGTCCCATGCAGTAGACTGCAAAAATTAATATAATGTGGTCAGTTTCAAGTAGGATTCTGAAAACTGGTCTATGGAATGATTTCAAAAGTTATTGGTGCCTTGGGACACAAGGCTTTTAAGCCAGGATGGATCCTTCACTCATCTGAGGTGGGGTATCTCCTGTCCCTGCCGGGACAGTTGTGTGGTTGGCTGCAAGGATCCATCAGAAGAGAAATCCGCTCTGGGGATGTGCTGCCACCTGGTGGTCTCTGCTCAGCATCTTCTGAGGAGCCAACGGTACACATGCGTTGAGCCTTAGAGCCGCGCATGCGCTCATTGCAGCTGAGCCTTGACGCTAAACACCCGAAGGACTGTTACAAATGGTAATACCTGACGCCTCCATAATGAGGAGGCGCCACAGTCCCGCGGCTACATTCAGGAGCTCTGGAATCACACAGACTGGGTTCCAGTGCCGGCTCGGCCACTACCAACTGTAAAACCTGAGAAAAGTTCCAAGACTTAAATGCTGTTTTACCAAATTCACCAAAAAAGCCGTAAAGAGAACCTGCCTGCTAGGAAGAGGTGCAGAAAGCGGCATCCAGGCCGTTGGGGGCATCTTGTTTCCGCCTCAGAGAAGTTCAATGCCCCGATGGTGATGCTGTAGGCTCGTACCTTCCCTGGCTCCGGGGCCCCGTGAGGCACTAGAGAAGTTCCGGAGGGGGGCTCTGAACTACCTGTGTGGGGGTGGAGGGACGGAAAACGTGCCCACTCGGGCGGCTGTCGGGAAGGGACACGCTGGGGCTTCTTAGCACCGCGGCTGCTCTGGTCTCACCCCCCCCCCGACCCCTCAGCACTGGCCCGCGGCACCCCCACCCCACGCCGAGAGTCGGTCACCGCGCAAACAGCACCGGCCTGGCCCGCCCCATAAGCCGCATCCGCACCTTGGGAGGATCAGGGTCGCTCCTGCCTTGGGTGGGGGGAGCCCTTTGGCCTCCCGGGACCCGAGCAGGAAGGGCTGGCGGGCTCACAGGCCTGGCTGCCAGATGTCAGGAGAGCCTCGGCAGTACGGGACGGTGTCCACACCTGGCGGGAGCCCTTGGGTGCCAAAGGCCCGTAACGAAGCGAGGGAAGAAGGCTCGAAGGCCGGGGGTGTCAGCGGGGCTTGGGCCGTTAGACCCCGCCCTTTGCCGTTGGCCGCTAGATCCTCGCGCCGGTGGCTCGCGCATGGTTTCTCCGTCATCTGTTGCAGTGGGTCCAACCCCCGCAGGGCAGCGCGAGCTGCGTGGCGGAGGGGTTGCAATCCAGAGAACTCCCTGCGTTCCCCACCCGGCTCCCGAGGATCCCGCGGCGCGCAACGGCTCTTCGCTGCACCCTCCGAGGCGACCCTCGCGTCCCACCCCCGCCGCCACCACCCTCCAGTGCTGCATGGGTCCCGCTGGGATCACCACGCTGACCCTGCCTCCCACCCCACCCCGGAACCTACTGCAATCACTTGTCTTCCTCCGCTGGGTTTTCTGTCCCTAGGAGGGGTTATCTGATCCCACGGGCTCAGCGCTCCTTCCTGGAGTCCCGACCCCGTGTCCCTGCAGGACTCTCAGGTCAGCCCAGTGCTGTCCGCCCGCAAGTCCATGATGTTGCTCACTCCAGAAAGTTAAGTGGATTGTCCAGGGGGCAAACTGACCCAACTGCCACCTGAGCGGGCAGTCTCCTCTATGCAGCCAATGCCACCCAGACACTTCCTAAATCCTGGCCTAAAGGAGACTGAACAGAGGACTCCAAGAGAGACCAGGAAGGGATAGTGAAGGTTGAGAAAGATCTGAAGTGATGGAAGGGCGGGACAATAGAAGGGGCCCCACCACAGTAGCGGGAGGGTGCAATCATCTACCCCCGGAGGCAGTGGAGTCTTAACTTCCTTCCCCCGCAGGCTTGAGCCTCTAGGGGAAACCTCCATTCCAACCATCCAGAAGAGTAAGAAACGGGAGACAAAGGAGCTCATTCATCAAAGGCTAAGCCATCACCAGCTCAGGTGGCCTGCTGGAGCAGAACTGCCTTTTAGGAGGAATAATCTGGGTGTTTTCTGGTCCATCCTCCGTGGGCTCCAGTGTTGCCAGAAAGTTCAACAAAGGAAGAGCTGATGAACCCTGTTCATGCCTCAGAAGCCCGAGAAGAGACAGGGAAGAAAGGTCTCAGAATATGCTGTCGAGGAGGGTGGGAGGTTGGGGGATCCAGGTGGTGGGTATTGGAGAGGGCACGGATTGCATGGAGCACTGGGTGTGGTGCAAAAATAAGGAATACTGTTATGCTGAAAAAAAAATTTTTAAGAAAAATTAAAAAAAAAAAAGAATATGCTATCAAATAGGACTTGTCTACCCACACCTGCCAGCAGTAGGCTTTGCAAACAAAATTCCAGTGACCCCGCTGAAGCTACCACTGCCATTGTTTTGATGTCCGGATCAGCTGTCCCCCAACTCCTAAGCCACTTTGAAAGCTTCTTTGAAAAATTAGAATGTGGTATAATATATGAACAATAGAAATCTACAAAGGAGAGGCAATGTTCTATAGATGGTAGATGAAATATTTAGAAAAGGAAATATAACATAAAAAGAAAGTATGTGAGAATTGTTTTTAAATATATTAAGGAAACCTTTAAAAAAGTAGTAGAAAACATGGAGGGGAAAATGAGAAAAAAAATTAAAAATGAATCTAAAACATCTAAATAAAGACCAAATATGTGGTTATTGTCTTGCTTATTGATAAAAAAAAGTCTATGAGTGCATATGTCCATGTACCTGAGATCTTATAGGAAAACACAAAAGCTTGCTCAGCCATCCACAGGCACTAACAGTAGGAGCACCTCTCAACCAGTGGGGGTGGGAAGCTGTGGATAAGCACCCCAGCCTCTCCATGCTTTGATGGGACAATTCTGAAGATATTCCATCTGATTTCTCAAAGGATCCTTACTATCTGGGGCCAAAATGACCCACAGCATTACTTACCTTTTTATTTAAATAATTGTACTTTGGGGTGCCTGGGTGGTTCAGTCAATTGGGTCTGCCTTCAGCTCAGGTCATGACCCCGGGGTCCTGGGATGGAGTTCCAGATCGGCTCCCTGCTTAGCAGGGAGTCTGCATCTCTCTCTCTCTCTCTCTTTCCCTCTGCCCCTCCCCACTGTGTGTTATCTCTCTCAAATATTTTATTATTTTAAAATTTATTTATTTAAAAAATTTGAAATTAAGTGTTGTCAAGGATGTGGAGAAATTGGAACCCTGGTGCAGTGCTGGTGGAAAAATCAGCAGCTGTGGGGAAAAATATAGAGGTTCCTCAAAAAATTAAAAACAGATACCATATGATGGAGCAATTCCACTTTTGGGTATATATCCAAAAGAATGAAAGCAGGGACGTGAACACATGTACACCAATGTTCATTATAACAAAAGCCCCAAAGTGCAAACAGCTCCAGTGTTTACCAATAGATAAATGGATAAAATGTGGTGTATACAGATATAATGGACTATTTTTCAGTCTTACAAAGAGATGAAATTCTGACACATGCTATAACATGGATAATCTTGAAATCATCATGCTAAGTGAAATAGGAGGGCATATATTGTACAATTCCACTTACACGAGATAACTAGAGTATTCAAGTCCATAGAAACAGAAAGTAGAACAGTGGTTGCCAGGAGTTAGAGATAGGGGGTGATGGGAAGTTATTTTTTTTTTTTTTAATATTTTATTTATTCATGAGAGACAGAGACAGGCAAAGGCAGAGGGAGAACCAGGCTCCCTACAGAGTGGGGAACCTGATGGGGAACTCCACCCCAGGACTGTGAGATCATAACCTGAGCCAAACACAGACGCTTAACCGACTGAGCCACCCAGACATCCGATGGACAGTTCTTGCTTAACGGGCACAGAATTTCAGAATCTCAGTCTGAGACAATGAAAAGGTTCTGGAGATGGATACCGGTGTTAGTTGCACAACAATGTAAATGTTCTTAATGCCATTGAATTGTATACTTAGAAATGGTTACAATATAAATTTTATGTTACACCTGTTTTTATCACAATTTTCACAAAGAGATTTCACCCTGCCCCAATCCTAATGATATCCTTCTTGGCATCCTTTAATGTAGTTGACAGAAAATTTGAAGAATTCACAAAGGCCTTGTTCATTGCCACATTATCCACAATAGCCAAGATATGGAAACAAGCTAAGCATCTGTCACTTAGCTTGAATGGATAAAGAAGATGTCGTGTACACACACACACACACACACACACACTGAACTATTATTCAGCCATGAGAAATATGAAGTCCTTTTATTTGTAACAACATGGTTGGACCTTGAAGGCATTATGCTAAATGAGATAAGTCAGACAGAGAAAGGGAATCTGTATGGTACCACATGTGGGATCTGAAAAAGCCACACGTGTAGAAACGGTAGAACTGTGATTGCCAGGAGCTGGGGCTATGGGGCAACTAGAGGGATTAAAGTGCACAAACCTACAAATAAAAAATGTTGTTAAAGTGCACAAACTTACAACTAGAAGATGAGTAAGTTTTGCAGACCTCATGCATAACATTGTGATTATAGACAACAATACCGTACTATGTACTTGGATGTTGCTAAGAGACTAGATCTTAAATGTTCTCACCACACACAGAAAAAAAGATGATAGTTAGAGGATGTGATGGAGTTGTTAGCTAATGCTATGGCTGAGATCCTATTGTAATATATATAAGCATTGAATCAATACATTGTGTACCTTTAACAAAATTATATATCAATTTTTTATTTAGATGAATTAAAAAAAGGAAACTCAGGCCTTACAATTGGATTATGATATCAAGTTAAATATACTTTCAGCAAACTGTTTGCATATGGAATACTTACTTTACTTACTAATAGGTAAGTCAAAATCGATATTTTGACCTTGAATTAGACCTTGGTGATGGAGTCTTTTAGGGAGTAGAAACACTGGGCTAAGCAAAGTAGGCTTTGGACCAGGAGGGCAAATATGAACAAGGCAATGGGACCTTGTGGCATGGGTGTAGGGAGCCCAGGTCCCTAGGGGATGTGAATTTAGATGAATCAGTGCCAGTGGCAATAGTAACCCTGCTGCTGGGGATCCATCTGCCACTTTGTAACATCAGTAACTTAAAAGAAGAAAATAAGTAAAATGTTATTTTATTAATAAAATAGAATAATTCATAGCCATCAAAATTTCATAATTATGGTGACTGAATTAAGTTGAGGAGTGCTTACAAGGCGAAGGGTGTGGTCAACAAAAAGGTGCTCCACCAAAAAAAAAAAAAAATACAAACCCACAAAAAAACACAAACCCTGTAGCTAAGAAAGTGGAGGGACATTTTTGGAGAGCTGGAAACTAATTCTTAAAAGGCTGAAAACATACTGTTGCTAGTAAGTAAAGTAAGTATTCCATATGCAAACACTTTGCTGAAAGTATATTTAACTTGGTATCATAACACTGGTTATGGGCTAACACTAAAAATAGTGTAATGTAGGTTTAGTAAGACCAGATCTGCAGGGGTGCCTGGGTGGTTCAGTTGGTTAAGCTACAGACTCTGGGTTTCTCCTCAGGTACTGATCTCAGGGTGTTGAGATCAAGCCCCAGTGACAGGTTCAATGTGGAGTCTGCTTGAGATTCTCTTCCTCTCCCTCTGCCCCTTCCCTGCTAATGCTCTCTCTCTCTCTCTCTCTCAAAATAACTAAATTTTTAAAAAAAGATTTTATTTGTTAGAGAGAGAGCGAGCGAGCTCAGGCAGACAGAGTGGTAGGCAGAGGCAGAGGGAGAAGCAGGCTCCCTGCCAAGCAAGGAGCCGGATGTGGGACTGGATCCCAGGACGCTGGGATCATGACCTGAGCCGAAGACAGTCACTTAACCAACTGAGACACCCAGGCGTCCCTCAACATAACTAAATTTTAAAGAAAAAGACAAGATCTGCAAGTCAAAGTGAATTGTTCGTATTCAGTTTTCGTACTACATAAAAAGAAAAAAAAAAAAGAATGCC